ACTCGGTGCAACGTTGTACGACTGCATTCGATCAGGTACGCTCTAAATAGTAATTTCTTCAGTCAAGTCTACTTTGGAACTTGATTTACACATTTGTTTACTGCTAGATGGATGATACGAGTAAATGCTCTTTCCCCGTAATTGTCTGATTATGACTAATTACTGACAGTTTCATGACTAATTGTCCTGGTGGGACGGCTGCATTACTTCGTTAGCGAGAAAGCGTACCAAATTCCTGGCTGCTACAAAATTCGATCTCAACACTTTTGTTGGGTGGTGTAGATATAGTCGTCAACAGAATAGGTATTGATGATGAATAAATGGTACAAATTGCGGTCGGAGCTATCAACACCTAAATTATGGCCTCTGGTCTGTGAATTCCGATCAATGTTTCTTGTGCCTTTGGATAGAAATTTAGACCTACGAACGGTTACGGAAAAGCTTTATTTTTGGAAGGGCAATGTATTTGTTTGCAAAATGCTCTTTTTTGATAATAATTAATCCTTTTTTCGATTCGATTTTGTGATGCAACTTGCATAGCTTGCACAACACTAGAGAGCCGCTAATGGAATTATGTTGAAGCGCATACCGATTAGTTGCCTTAGCCATATCCTTCTACTGAATTCAGTGAATCGACACAAATATTATCGCCGGATTATTATTCATTATCTAAAAACGAGAAGGAGGAGATTGTCAAAAATTGAAATCCTGTTTGTGACCCAACATTAACAGCTATTCTCTTACAGAGCGAAGGGATTCTTAGTTTGCAACATAGGCCATTCTGAATTAATGTAAAGGTCGCATTGGTCTGATGTATGTATGTGATGTTGCCCCACCGCTGCTTCACCAATCTGCCTTATAACATCACCACCACTTTTATGTCAGTTTGTGTAGACCATTTAATCGCTTCTAACAAAATGTTTGATGAAGGCAATGACTTTTGCACTTCTGCTCGGCACTGGGTCATAATTGGGTTCGTGGATTGGCGTTTGAATCACAGGAGAAGTGGGTGCAGGAATTTTCAAAATCGAGTTACCCTTATGGTCCTCTGCTTGCCTTAATTGATTGTTTCGCCCTGTTGTGGTTTCGCGTCTTAGTCCGGAGTATTTCAATCCAAATGCACTTTTTTGTAAATACTGTGCTATTTTACCCTACTCACGACTTACAGCCTATGGTTTCGCACTTGGATACACTGCTTTAGTTGACCTGTAATCTGTAAACTACGGTGACGGTTTACTGTAATCTGAAAGATGCTCATTGCATTTATGTTGCGCAATATTTTGTCGTTGAAATCGGGTGTGCAACCCCGATGCGAGTGGAATCGCTTCGTGTTCAGTAGCTTAGTATCTGTTCAAAATCATGTGAAGGAAAAATGTGGTTGGTATCTGCTGATTTGGCAATTTGAGCCTCGCAACCTTGTTTCTTCAGGTATCTACAACTTGGACGCTGGTGTTGGAGTCTATGCTCCAGATGCGGAGTCTTATAAGGTATAGGAGTTTTCATTGATTCGTACCCATTTATTTCTCAGAAACCAGTTTTATAGATTTAGACCTTCTCACCGCTGTTTGATAAAATCATCGAGGAGTACCATGGATTCTCACCGAGCCAGAAGCAACCTCCTGTCGATCTAGGAGAAGGCAAAATAAATGAGTTTCCTCCACTTGATCCAAAAGGAAAATACATCAAATCCACTCGAATTCGCTGTGGACGATCCCTCGCAGGCTATCCGTTCAATCCATGTCTGACTAAGGTATTCTCCGAATGTTTTCCTCATTTTACATATCTTGCATACAGTGCCGTGTCCTTCTTAGTAGGAATTTCTTCCTTACAAATCTCTTAAGCGTGCCTCTTTGTCCCTTGAACGGATTGCTTCTTCATCATTCTAGGATAACTACCTGGAAATGGAAAAGAAGGTTAAGAATGCGTTCGATTCCTTCACAGACCCGGACTTGAAAGGCAAGTATTACCCGCTTGATGGAATGACAAAGGAGACGCAGGACAAATTGATCGCCGACCACTTCCTTTTCAAGGAAGGAGATCGTCATCTTCAAGCTGCGAATGCTTGCAATTTCTGGCCCAAGGTATTAAATCGCCCATACGTGTTCATCGCTGAGAGCCCTTATTTCAGGGACGAGGAATTTACCATAACAACGACAAGACTTTCTTGATATGGGTAAATGAGGAAGATCATATGCGCATCATTTCCATGCAGCAAGGCAGCGATGTCGGACGGGTTCTTGAACGATTAATCAAGGGAATTAAGGTGAGTACTCTCCCACCGTATTTCCCCTATTCAATGCATATTTAATGGAAAGGTCTGAGCAAGATTAGCTTATGAAGATTCTTGGTTGAATATGCTCAAAGTAGTTGCATGAAATGATGTTCAAAAAATACTACTACACTATACAAAAAATACAATTTTGCACAATTCACGTAAGAAATTTGCTAAAAAACGCTATTGTAGAGCATCGAGAGGGTTGTGCCGTTTTCACGTGATGAACGTCTTGGATGGCTTACATTCTGTCCAACTAATCTTGGCTCGACAGTTCGCGCATCGGTTCACATTAAATTGCCGAAGCTTACTGCTAGGAAGAAAGAGTTCGAAGTAAGGATCTAATGAGGTTTCCACTAAAGATCGTTATTCTCCATACCTAGCTGTCTTTTCAGGCTCTGTGCGATAAATTAAACTTGCAAGTACGTGGAATTCACGGCGAACACTCTCAGTCCGAAGGCGGCGTTTACGACATTTCGAATAAAGTTAGTGTTGTCGCTTATAACAACCAATTTGAAACTCATTATTATTCAATGCGTATGTTCAGGCTCGGTTAGGCCTCTCCGAATACCAGGCCGTTAAGCAAATGTATGACGGTGTGAAAGCTCTCATCGCGGCTGAAGAGAAACTATAGAGTAATAACATACTTGTTGTAGCTGTCATTGCAGTTTGTCCACATTTTAGAATTATCACGTTTTCAATTATGTTTAGATTGAATATAAATTGCTTAGGGATGTCCTTATTGTGTTTGTTTTGAACTGTGATCGAGAGGGATGATTACGCTATGCATTCCTTTTTTGCTCGAAACATTTCTTATACATAGGTGAATTATATTCCATCATCATTGTGGTCTGCTGCATTGTGAAGAAGACAGATTCAAATGCCGATATAGGAATTGGTTGAAAAGCATTCTCTTTATGGACTCGCTTAATCGGAATACTCAATCTTCCTGGTTATAACACGATACCCTTCGGAGCCATTGAAGTTCGTTCCAATATAAGCTTTATGAGGTAGAAATTTCCTCGTACTCGGACGTATTTTTTAGCCGCATGCCGAAAAGGGTACGTAGAGGCAAAAAACTTCAGTTTAGCTTGCATAACAGCTATCGATGTCTTTTGAGAACTCCTATGGTCTGGATAAGGAAATCGTGCTTCACTTGCATAAACATATGCTTATATCTCCTTCTTCCTGCCATGTCTGAAGTGTACGAGCGCTAATGTCGAACACAGTAGATGAGAAAAACGCACATAAGGTGCGAATAACTGCAGACGTCACAAACTTGCTTCCAGCATGGTCTACAAACGCCTTCCCCTTAGTTATGTTTACATTGCTGTTTTGCAGTCAAGTAGTGTTGGACAGTGTGAAATATGCTTCACTTAAACATACCGAAATTTTGCGCGATTTGCTCCACTAAGAAAAAAGTTACGACCGGAAAACTTTGGCCGAATACTTTCGAGCGCTACTGTACATAACGCGGAATAGGTTTGGTATCTATGAGATCACTTATAACATATAAGTTCCGAGAAGCTCTATGGACAGTTGTCTGAGAGCAATGTAGCCGTTTCTAAAACGAACAATAGAGTCTCGTAATGAGTATGAATGCCCATGAAAAGCAGCCGACATCGACAAGATATTGACATGACTAAGAGATCGAAATGGACAATAACAGGTAAAGGCCGACCCAATGGTCGAGACGAATCCGTCTGAGATAAGTGATAAAAAAACCGTACATGTGAAGGAAAGACACCACATTTCGAATTAAAGGCACTGATAGAATATGACATGATAAGGTAGACCTGGAAAGGTGCCACTACAAACTCTGTACATTGTAAGGCAAAAGAGAGCTCATACACTATGTACATAAAGATTACAAAGGACGTAACAAATCAAGTAGGATGTGACCAAAAAATTACATACAAGGTATCAAAACCGAAGGAATCTCTGATCGTTGAGGTAGACGATTGTCGAATCGCAGGTTGTCGTCGCATGATCCGGCGAAAGGAGTCGTCCGGTAGTCTGCGTCCATGTGGCGACTTGTCTCCGAATACATAAGAAGAGTCAGACCCTGCGGACTAGAAGAGAGAAGGCTCCACGTATGCTTTGAACCCTTGCAACGAACGCCATCGACCCGCTAGCATGATTTCGGTGGAGTCGAAGCCCTGAATTAAAGCGTGGGTGGTTGCCCCACCCCTGAAAGAATGGGTGGTGAGCTGTTTGTGTTGGAAACACGCTGCTCTTATTACGTTGTTGAATCCTTTGCTCACCCAGTCCCTGGAAGGAGGCGAGCTTTTCCCGTTCCCGAACAGAAATTTTTGGGGCATCAGGGGGCGTCTAAGCCGGCAGAAGGCCTGCCATAGTAGGGTCTGGAGAAGGTCAAACCTTATTGCTACGGTGGTCCTCCATCCGTTTTGGATTTAATTATTTGGACCCACCAGACTCCGTCCCTTTTTTACGAGAAATGTTGAAATTGGAGTTGCCTGACCTCACTAACCCTTAAAACCCAGAAAAGGCTAGCATGACCATAGTGGCGCCGATCACGTCACCCGAGGATTCTTCAATGCAAATTTTATGATAGTCTCCACGTCTACCTTAGATGCCTTGTTGTTTGATCGGATTTCTTGAAAATGCGACGGCTCTGAGTAGCGCTTTGAGGATATCTGCGTCGTCCTGGGAAAGAGGCCCGAAAAAGTGTGACAAGGCGGCTACATGGTAACCTAGGGATCGTGAATGAGGTGTGCAATGAAGATACTCCTCAGTTTTGGGACTTCTGACGCAGGGATCTTCCAATTTCGACGAGACTGAAGTTAACGGGTTCTGACTCGTCTATATATATTAAGGGTGCCTGGCGCAATTGCTTTGTTTATGCAGGCTTGAATGATTTGACCAAATTCCTCGAAGCCTCCTCCACTGGGCAACTGAGCTGCCGTCTGGTTGCCGTTGAACGAGCGGCTAGTGCCGGTTCTGCAATATACTGGATTTTATTGTCGCCGAAACTTTAAAGGGAGGGGAGGGGGGTCGTGACGAAAACGAAGCCAGAATGGGGAGGAATCTCCCCACCGTGGCTTGGCCACGACGAGACCGCGTCGACCGGTCCCGATCTGCTCGGGACAGCCTTCGGCGGCGCTCGTTGCGCGAATACAAAACTCTATTTTCATCTACGATACCCCACGACGAAACCTACGTTCTGTCTTCTCGCAACGAACAACGGAAAAAGTTCAAAGCTCGGAGGGAGTTAAAAACGAAGGAGGGCAAAAGCGAAGGGGAAATCCAGTTTCTGGGTTCCAAAAGTGAAGGATGGAGAATTATCCTGCAGTTTTGTGGCACCTGCTGGGACAATAACTAATTCCTTTATTTCTCGAATCCAGTTGTTATCTTTTCTTAGAAAAGGGAAGAGAAGGTTGGATGGCCAGAGAGGGGAACCCAACATCCCTTCACTATGATGGTATCTTGCCCAAATAAGTGTTTTAGCAATAAGGTGAGGAGGAAGAACCCACCAACAAAACGAGGAGTTCCACCAATGGGATGATTCGTCTGCAAAAGCGTCGATGCCGCTTGCCGGAAATAATCTCTCGCATTTTGCTGTTTTTTGCTAGCGAACATGTCAACTGAACATGTGCCCCAATTATGATACAGTTCCTCGAACAAACGGCCGAAAACGCTCCAATCGTCCAAGTCAACAAATCTGGATGCCCGATCCGCTTCCGAATTCAGGGTTCTGGGGACCCAAACAAACTCGATATGGATGTGGAAAACTCGGAGAAGTCCCATACTTCCTGAGCCAGGTCTTGTAGTTCTAATTTTAGGCTCTTTTTTCTGAAGCTCACTGCGCACTGACTGTCGCAGTGCCACCGGCACCGCTGGAAGGCGATGCTGGGGAGGAAGGTCTTTAGTCTAGACAAAATAACGAACAGTTCGCTCGCAGTGGATATGAGGAGCCTACTAGTGAAGTGGGAAGAGAGGATGAAGCAACGATTTTTGAACCATTTTCTAGGTCAGGATAGCTCAAGACCCAATTCGGAAGCGTCTGAGAAAATGTTAATGGAAGTTCGAGTATAATTGGGGTGTTCATGGAGACACCTTCAAATGAACTTTGAAAACTTAGCCAACTGTTCAACTCATTGCTCTCGTCTTTGGAGAGTTTCCATAGAAAAGATAAAGCTGTGTCCGTTGACTGTTTCTCTGCCACTTGGTCATGACCACTCGCCATTTTCTTTTTACTTCTGAAGGAATAATGATATGCATAGAGGCGATACAACCTCGCCATTAAGCCTATCTCATAAGAACGGGCCTCTGCTTTTTAGGAGTTTGATAGGCAGGGCCTCTGTTTTCTCTCTCGCTTCTGTGGTGACACTGAGACTAAACATTTGAAATCGATCCCATTGCCTAGCCACGGGATCTTCTAAGTGGGTTCCCACTTACATTTTTCGTCGGCGGTGTGAATCCTGTTGTTGTGCGCTTGTTTTAAACCTTCTCTGATGATCATCACTACCTTTTTGCATGTATCCAACTCGAAGCCCCAAATCAAGCCATTGTCAAGGTGGAGCGCGAATGAAATTCCTATTTCCCTCCACTTTCTAAGGAGTGGTCGAAACATCTTTGTAAAGATGAAGGGGGCCGGTGCCAGGCCAAACAGAAGAACTAAGAACTTGAAATATTTGCTGCCCCACCTAAATCCTCTGTAAATGAGGGATGCATCTTTATATGATGATAACCCGCCTTGAAGTCGAATGACGCCATGTACCCATCTCTGGGATGGAGAGGTAAGACTTAGGCTATGTCTTCAAGTTTAACTTTTGTTTTATGTGTACTTCCTACCTGAAGCTACTGATATTGGGTTGATTCTTATAGAGTGTCATTTGTCTCTTTTATGGCTCCGCTTTTCAGAAGCTTATTGTTTTCGGAATTTACAAAAGAAGAAAATTGGTAAGCTGATGTTGCATTGTCCCTAATGAAGCCTTATTCTGGTTGTTGGCTGTACCCCGGTAGGAAGCCGTTTTTTACCACCGATCTCGTGAGCTCCGATAAATGAAGCCCCAACGAGAATTTGCTTTTTCATGCAGGCTACCTGCAATGCACTCGCTTTTTGGGGTATCCTGGGCACTGAGTGCGGAAATGTCCGATTTGTCCACATTCCAAGCATCTGGGTCTCTCCAGTTAAGCGACTTGATTGAGTCTTTGATAGGGAGTTGGTGTAAGTTTGTGCTGTTGCCAAACCTTTTGTAGAAGTAGGGCGCGGCAGCTTTGCTGGCCGGAGGAGCGAGGGCCCAGGTTGCTCCTCCGGCTCGAAAGGGCTGGAACAATGGAGTAGGGTAGGATTGGGCCCTCCCCCCAAGCCAAAGTTCCTCTCGTGAGTTCTTTCTTTTCAGCCTTTTCCTTCTGTTTCAGGAAGTCTGCGAAGATGGGGTTCGACACTTCATATTGATTTGCCTTGCTATGTTGATCGAAGAAGTCCCAAACTGATGGAACCTTATCCGCGATGGTTAGGATTCACTCCTCGAACTAGAGTCATAGCTACCTTTTCCAACTTTTCCTCAATTTGGAAGTCCGCTCGTGTCACTTTGGTTATGGAGACCAAATTCAGCAGAATTTAGTAGTTAAATTCGAAATGCTTCTGAAGGTTGGCCTCAGTAAAGT